TGAGTCTGCGCATTCGTTGCCCTCAACCCCTACGAGTCCAGGCACCCAGAGGAGGGTTACTCGTTTTCTTTTCCTAACTCATTTCCATACATCTTGGAATTGATGACTGGGGAGCTCAATGCTTTGATAGCTGATTGGCTGTCAGAAATTTATATAATTTCTCGTTTTCAATATCCTTTGTCCATTGGCTCCGAGTATCTGGTCAGTAGCCCGAATACCCCTGCTCTAGTTCCCCCATCAGTCTTGAAGACGTCTGTATACCATTTGATGGTGTTTGCTTTTAGAGACTGAATAGATTCTATGCGCCATTTGTTTTTCCTCGAGCTAAGATGGAAAAGTTTTTCTCGATGCTTGGTAGATCCATAAGGAGTGCACAGTTTGGGACAAGAATTCGCTAGCCTAAGATACACTGGCAACCCACTTCACTACTGTGGAGTGGTGTGAGGTCAAGGATGACTTCTAGTGCCGCAGTTGGACATGGACATGATCTCATTGCTCCTAAGATACAGAGAGACGTGAGTCTTTGTTGTTTTCTTAGGGGTTTCCTAGCTGGGTTCGGCTATGCCATGCTACCGCTCCGTGAGTAATATCAGGTTTCACTATCATAGTATACATGTTTTGCAGACCATGGGCTCCGAGTTTGCGTTGTTCTTCTACGTTCGGTTCTAGGGAAGTTCAGAGTCTAGGGTTATTCCTAGAAAATTTACTTTTCGTTTTCAATTAGGTTTGATTCTATTGAGGCGAATGTTCCTCAGGTTTGTTCTTCTTGTAAAGGTTATCAGTGTGGTTTTCGCTGATCTAGATTCAGTCCCACACACCATTATTACTCCGCAGTTTGGGTTAGTTATGTTTTTGCTTTGTGTTTTTGCTTTTTTTATTAGATCGCAGAGTGTTCCTTCAATTTGTCCCTGGTCATAATGACAATATCATCGGCGTATCCAAAGCAGGTGGAGCCGTGATGGATTAGTATACTCAAGAAATTATCAACCTGGGCAAGCTTAAGGAGAGTCATAGCTTACTCCTGCCGTTTACCAGCGCTTGGTTGAATTTCTTCACTTTATTATTCAGGGCGTGGGGCAAGTGTTGCATTCACTTTTAACGACCCATCTTCACAATGAAGGGCCTAGACTTTGAGTGGCGTACATAAACTTCCTGACGATACACGACCGCACCCACCGAGCGAATTTTGGTCATAACAACTACTCAATCGTCACGAGAAACAGATGCGGGCATCTAAGCATATGACCGTGTAGGCATCGCGTCCAGAACTCGAAAGGATCACTCTCCTTACCCGCGACGGTAGACCACAACAGCCCGGTATATCTGAGATACTCAAACGTCCCGGGCTTAACTACCTATGTCGTGCTCTCCGTTTCGGCTGATGTTCTCCATCGTGGGGCAAACAGATTCGCTCTTAGTAGCACAGGCGTACACGTGTTGCCAAGCAACTGCGAGGCCGGGACCTGTCTATCATGCTACCGCCATGACTGTCTTCCCCGGATTAGCTCCTGTGCACACATGACCGCCGAATGTCACTATCCCAAACCTATTGAAACTGTACCTATTCTTTCGTTATGAACAAACTGATTTAAGTCACACCTGAACTGATTGAACCGTGTTGTTTCGATTTCGGATCACTTTACCCACCATACCCACCAGATGATGGCAATCAGTTTATTTCTAGCCCCAAGTGATCGCAGAATGTTTCCGTTCACTTCTTTCAGATCATTTTACATTTGTGAGTCAAAATCAGCTGATATAGATTCTTGTTCTTTTGATGCGACAGAAATGAGCGAAGTGATGTGAAAATGAGAATCACTTTCAGTTAAATCAGATTAATTTGTTCAGTTTGATTAGATCGAAAGAATACCCCTACTGCCACCTGCAAGTCCGTTCCCATGGAGTAGGCATTGGAGCCGGGTTGACGGTGCATACACGGTGCGTCAAAAAAGTTCAGCAGTGCGAAGTTATCCCACATAACAGTGAAAGAACATTCATATTCTCAGAATATTCCCTCAAAGTGCTTTCTGGAATGTTCTTTTAGGAATGTTTAATGAATATTCTAAGATTGTTTCGATTGAAATATTCATTTTTGAACGTTCTATTTATGTACTAGGAATGTTGCTTCTATGCACCTACCTGAAAGATTGTGCTAAGAACCTACTTTATATAACATTATTTGAATATTGTCATACGAACATTATTAAAATGTACCCTAAAAAATGTTCTTTCGGCTAATATCTCTATCAAGTATTAAGAATATACCTACCAAGTTGCGCTGAGAAGTTTATGTAGGTAGGTAACCATGATAAGAATATTTTCATATTGTTCACCTAATTATCTAAAGTACCTACTGAAAAATCTTAATTGAACAATTAAACAATAATGCTCTATCTAGAACCTACTAAGAATATTATAGGTATATTCTTTTTCTTTTGCTTTGTAGGACTTCCAAGAGAGGGAGCCACGCGCTATTAAAGATCTACATCTTGCCTAGCATTTGAATCACCTTGGAACCTGTTTCTCTCAGTTAGCTTGCTTATCGCGACGAGAGCATAACAAGCTCGAAACCGGAGCTTTGGTTAAGCACTTGTGTTTTCTAGAGAAGTTTTTCAACATTTCTTTCACTGCCTTTAATATAAAAGGGCTGAAAGGAGCATTATTTGGAAGCAAAAATTAACATTCCAAGTATATCCTTAGAATCATACAAGAATGTTATGTCTAGGATGCATATTGGGAATGATGTAGATATATTCTAAGAATATTTAAAGCATATTGGTATAATATTCTTTTGAGAACATAACTATAATGTCATAGAAACATTCTTTGAATGTGAGAATATACATTTCGAGCATATTTTTAGAATCAAACAGGAATTTACTTTTCAGGATGTACTGAGAATCTCATAGGTATATTCTAGGAATATCCTAATGGATTTCCCAGGAAGTTCTTGGGTATTGCAAACAGTATTTCTACAATCTTTTCTCAGAACATTCTCAGGACATTCGCAATGGTTTTGGCGAACATTCTAGGCACATTCCTCCTAAAAAAAGAACCTTCTTAATACATTCTAAGGATCCAATTTTGTTATGTGGGATATTCTTGTAAATGGGACACCATGTATATTGTGCGCTAATTAGTTAGTCTCCTTCAACCTGATGTCAACGATATACGATTTGATATGTCTATCTTCAATAGTTATAGAGAAAAACATGAAAACCCCTTTCAAGGTCTCATGTTGAAGAAAGAAAAATTATAGGTACCATTTAAGCTTTAGAGAGAATTAGGTACTTAGTTAAATGTTCAAATGTTATCCATCAATTAGCAAGGTGAAATATTATAATGAATCCAGATGTCTTGAATTATTATTATAATTTAGAAAAAAAAAACACATTAGACCTATAGGAAGGGATTTTCGCGTTTTTCCCTATTGGAGATAAGCCGAGAGATAAACATATCAAACCGCATATCGTTGAAATCAGGTTGAAGGGGACTTATAAATAAGCGCACAATATACATGATCTTCTATTTAAAAAATATAACTTTGCTCTGCTTAGTTTTTTTGACGCACCCTGGATGCTTAAAACTATATATATATAATTATCGGTTTATAACGTTCTACGTCTTCCGATTCCCGATCTCCAACCATCTCTGTCAATCCAGGCATCCTCTTCTAAGCCTCTGTCTCTCATTTCTTCGTCTACTCCACTTCTCCAGCTCCTTCTCGGTCTGCCGGTCTGCCGCGTCTTCTTCTTCCCCCTGGCTTCCACTCAATAATTTGCTTGGGTATCCTTGTATCTGCCATTCTTTGTACATGTCCGAACCAAAGTAGCTGTTTGTCCTTTATATTATCTACTATTGTGTGTTTTACGTCCATAATCTCCCTTATTCTCAGATTTGTTATCCTTTCCATCTTTGACTTGCCTGCAGATCTCCTCCAAAAGTCCATTTCAGTTGCTTCCAGCATTTTTGCGGTTCTTTTCTGTGTTGTATATTCTAGTTTTGTTAGTTTTGTTGATATTTTGATCCCACAGTACACCATTTAGTAAGGATATTCCCTTGCGTCCCTGTATATTCCGGTCTTTAATTGCTTCGTCTAGGGATCCCTCACGTGAGACTTTCATCCCCAAATATTTGTATTCAGTACATTGCTTAAAACTAACTTAGATAAAAAAAATTGACAATTTCTTAACACTTTTGTATTTGACATTTCTGTCAAAAACGTCAAATTAAAAAGTTAGGAGGAGGTGACATTTATAATATATCACCCTGTACCGAATGACACGAATGAGTGTCTCCCTTCGACCTTTCGGGTTTCTCAGGTTTACCCCAGACTTCACATCAAGGATGACAGTACCCCTTTATGTGGATATCCTCTAGATGTACTGACTTGAATGGTTCTTCACCTACGTCAGTTTCTGTAATTCTGGTGGATAGCATTTCTTACATCTAGGTGGATACGGTTTTGTCCACTTCTTTTCTGACGATTGAAATCTTGAATGACTCAAGCGAGGTGTTATCAAATGCATCCTCTTTATCTAAGAAAGCATAAATGGCTACTTCATGATTTTGCAGTGTGTTCTGGATGCTGTCAGAGAGCTCGAACATGGCGGTTTGTTTTAATGACGTGTTGTTATTGAACTATCGTTATTTTTAAGCGGTTACTTAGAAATAACCGTTGCAACTGTTGTTTTAGTTCAAGATTAACAGGTGAAAAATAACGAAAACACAAAACGTTTACCAACTCACGTTTGATGACTGAACGTGTAGTAGACTGTGGGTCGATGCCGCTTTGCATTTGAAATGACCCCTCATTGAACTTAACACTACTTTGCAAAAATGGAGTTTATTCAACAACATATTTGTTCCCTATATGCGAAACAAATGTTTATTTGAAAATTCGTCAATATTTATTTAACCTCTTGCTGGAACTTTTACTTTGACTAAACAAATAATTATTTAATTGAAATGAACAGGTTTTTGAAGCAATGGCATGATTTATTTAATTGAAATAACTTTTTTTTACATAACTAGCATTAATTTTGAAATAAATACCTTTTTTATTTGGTTTGAATTAAAGGAAATATAGCTAAATAAACGCAGTTTTCTAACAAATTCATGATTTATTTGGTTGAAATATTCTTTGCTTAACGCAACAAGCCGACTTATTAGATTCAAATTATTATTTATTAATTCTGAACATCCACATCCCCTGGTGTTTTTGCATGCACACAATATATTGCATCTCAAGTCTTAGTTATGGTTGGCTTCCACTGTTTCTTGTTTTTCAATCTAGTTCTTGCCTTGGATTTGGATGGAAGGTGACTCGACAGGAGGCATAGTTTTAGAGAGTTGAAATCTGGAAAAAAAATCCTAAATATAGTATATTGCATTACCTATTCAATTGCTGATTATTCTACGATTTATCCACTAAATTTTTATATGAAATAAAAAGTTTAGTACCTATACAATAGTTTTTTTCTTAGAATTTCAACACCCTGTATCTCGGAAAGGAAGCGTTTCCGGACATATGTTTATATAGGTAACTAGGGCTTATTTTCGACGTAGAATATGCCATAAAAATTTGGTGCATTAATTTCGGAACACCCTGTATAAATTCAGTTTAGCCTGGATTATAAAAAGAGAAGGAGATTCAGGGTGTTAAATTTGGAATACTTTTTCATCTTATAAAAAAAAACTCTGTATTGTTTCCATACCTGTTGTTATTTTTCAAGAGTGTAGCGATGGAGCTGTCTGTTGAGTTCAAAGTGCCATGTATTAAATAAAATACTTTGTCAAATTTTTCTTGCAGTAGCAAATTAGCAGATTTGAATTTGTTCAAAATCATAGGACATCTGGAAAAAAGAAATGTTCATTTAATATACTAGACTTTCACTATAAAATTAATAGGTAGGTACAAACTTACTTACATATGCTAGCTGCGTTTTTAGTAGGTACAGGCCAGTCATCCAAGTATTTTTCTATTTTCGTATTTGTTATCAATTGCCTCACAGAAAACGATTGCCTCCAATGATCTTAAACCTCCGCTGGTGGTAAATCTTTACAAGTGAAACGTGGAACGCAGGTGTGAGGTGTGACTGGTGGTATGAGTAGTACGATGAAGATGAAATGCGATCCACACCTGCCGCAAGGCGTCTCGGCGAATCAAAAGCAATTCCGCATTGCAAATACAAAACTAGTTATTCTAAATAAATATTTATTTTAAAGCAATAATTCTTGAAAAAAAACTTGCAATCAGGGGCGGCTTCTCAATAAGTGCGCTCGTGCGCGCGCACTGCCTCCAAAAACCAAGCAAGAAAATAAAATTAAAATTTTGGAAAGAAAAGAAACTTCAATTAAAAAATACCTACCCAATTTTCTAAATTAGGATAAATATCTACTCATTTTTCTATTTTTAAATTCGCACGAACGGAACGAAAGCGCGCCCTGCGCCTGTCTTGTATATTTTTTTCTCCCGCTTGGTTGTGCTGGTGGTCCGGGTGGTCGGTGTGGAATCGTTCGGCGCTCTGGGTAAATGTGTTTTCTCGCTGTGCGATTGATCGGGAATATACGGTAAGTCGCCCGATGAAAGGGATGCGCCGTGCGCTATTTGAATACACACTTCCAATGTTGTTTCCACTCAATCGAGAATATTTCGATGTTTTTTCACCATTTTGGCGGTTTGACAACTCTGTTGTTCGCGGTTTTTTTTTTAATTATAAATTTCAGTATTAATTATGTATTATGGCTAGAATACAAACATTCAAGCCTCATTTAAATACATATATTTTTGTTTTCGATAATTTTTCCTAAAGTAAAAAGAAAAAAAATCAACATACAAAATAAATGTAAAACAGGACGTGGCACCTCCAAAAAATTTTCCAAGAGCGCACAACCACACTAGGTTGCCACTGGCCGCCACTGCTTGCAATCAACTGCACTTTGTTTGATTCAAGAAAGGCATAGGTGAAGCAAATAATAATTATTGAAAAATGATCAAGTGACTCATTTTTTTTGCGAAAACCGTAGAATATTGCAACCAAATGATATTTATTCAATGAAAACAACATTTATTTGGTTCAAAGTACCAGAATCATGGATACGAGATCTATTTCACGTGAAAGTTTATTTCTTTGAATCAAACAAATAAAAATCAAATAAATTTGATAAATTATTCAAATACTTCAATTTCTTCCAATTTAATAAAGTGTGTTAAACATAAATATATTTCGTTTAGTTCAAATCAAGGAAAATCAAATAAATATTTATTAGATATATTCTAAGAAAATTTTTTCAGTGTTGTTACAGCTGTAAAGCGTTATTTTATAACCGATACCCATTTAACTGTAATCGCATTGATAGAACCACGAGAAGTTGAAAATAACGACAATCTGTTATTTTAAATTAACAGTAGCAGTTGTAATTGTTATTTAAAAATAACGGTTTTTCCCATCTCTAGTTTCTGTTCATCCGCCCGCTCTGTATGCATGTTGCCGAGGATGAAGTGGCGTCGTTCCCAGAACACTTGTTCTGATGTAGTTATCTACTACAACTTTCTCAGCTGTTTTTAGTAAGAACGACGTAAGGCACTAAGGACTTATTTATCAAATCATTAATGCCTGGTTTCCGAAACACAAGATATCTCTTAAGTACCTACATACATAAAATGGAAACATAAATCATGCAATTATAATAGACTTATCTCTCCGTAACTTTATGTGACAGATATTTTATGGTTCAAAAACCGGGCATAAATAAATTCAATTGACAAAGAAAATTAAATTTTCAATATAGTTATAAAGGAGAACCAGAAAATTAATTGTTTTCCAACTGTTGAAATTATAATTTATAATTGGTATATTAGGACTCATTTATATGGTTTTCTACAACAACAAAAAAGTGAAAGTGAAATGAAAGAAAAAATTGTAGACAAATTATTAAATAAATATTGATCAAAATCAAGTAGTTGTTTCGCTATTCTCTCACTTATCGGAAATAATCTACACTACAATTATGCAAGGGTTTAATAAAGTGAGAAGCAGGGTAAAAATTCTATTTTTTTTTTCTCTAGCTGTATCCCGATCAGTGTCGGTATGATAATAAAAAGATCAAGAAAATAAATTACCGAGACTGTGAAAATGTAACTTACATGATCATGAAGTTCATGATCTTGTAGCAAACAAGGTGCTTCACTGGCAGCAGCCAAAAGTTCAAGTTTCTCTGACATGTTGAAACACCACATGGACTGCAATATTTCGTGAAATAGCCTGCGTCTGCGGTTAATTGTAGGAGTCTTCTGGTTTCCTTGGGTGAAGCCTGGGGGTCGTATTTTCGAATATACTCGCATACGAAATTTGATACGATTTCGAATGCTCTTCATTTAATTTACATTGCTGTCAGTTAAATTTCGTGTACGAAATGTACTCGAATAAATTCGAAAATACGACCCCTGGGTGAACCTGATGAGTACGTCTTAGAGTATCTATGTTCTAGAGCCCTATACATTTGTTCGTATGAGACTCTTGTTAGAGCTGGAAAAAAGTTTAGGAACATGCTCACTTCTAATGAGGGATCTCTAGACCTGCTAAACGGATCTGGACATCCAAACTTACCAATGAACGAGCCTCAGAGGAATTGATAAATATGTGAATTTTCTTAACCGGACTCCACGGCACAAAACCAACAAACATTTTTTGCAACTCCCAAGGTGGTCTGGTCGTTACCACCAGACCAAAAAAAAATGACAGAAGCCCCAGGCCGATCTTAACCCTGTCGGAAGAGAGGATAAAAAATGACAGTAGTCTCAAATTATTGACAATTCTGTCAGGAACAGATATTCACTCCGAACGAACATTTTAATCAAAAAACTAATTGATTTGATTGGTTTACTTCTTTCCATGAAAATGCTCGACCCAAAAACGTACCGGAGTACCTACTCACTGCATCGCATCCAGACAATGACGCAATGTGGCAGAAATTGGAGTCGTTTGAAAACGGATCAACTGATAATTTGGGAATGTAAACAATTATAGAAATCCTGAACCTATATTATTCTCACAACAAAACCAAGTTGAATTATTTACTCAAGTTTCAAATAAAGGGATGCTTGTTAATTAGAGATCTTGTCTCAAGTAACAAGGTAGGAGACTTGAAATCGCACATAATTACGTAAAACTTATATCGGACTGCCCTGCTATTTTAGGATAAGTATAGAAAAAAAGCGGACCGTCGATCGATCTACCAAACCATATCTAGCCAAGTCAACTATATTAAGTAATAATCAGCCTATATTATAAGAATAAGCTTTCCGTAATGTAGAATACTTATACCTATTCCTTCAGGCAGTACCAACGAAGGACAATTAAACAGACTGCTCGCACATGGTAGGTAGGTACATATTTGTTTCTTTTTTTTTTCGCAATTGTCTTAGCATACGATGTTTTCATAAATGGGCAACCAGAATCGGAAGACGATCACTTTTACAGAAGAATCACAAACTTGATTGGCGATTGGCAAACGTACGCCGTCTAGGATTATTTCTAAAATTAATGGATAAAGCAGGGCCGAGTATATCAACAGACAAATTATTTCTGATTGAAAATTTAAATCGGAAAAGACAAGTTCGGTCAAAAGTTGTAGACTTAGGGATAAGCACGATATCGGAGTGAACTAAAACTTCAGCGAGGGGAGATGGAATTGAAACCAAAAGTCACGGTTTAGCTAAAGCATTGGTATTGGAGAAAAGGAGTTGATCAAGTAAGCTCGACCTTCAAATGAAAATTCGATAAAACCATATACAGGTTTGGCAAGTCAACATCTTACGGGCCAATTTTTATGCAATAAAATTAAATGTCTAGGAAAAGTCTAAGAGGTTAAATAGAGAACGAGAACGATTTCCCCTGTTCCACCTCCAGCATGAAGCGCTGGGAATGCTGGATGTTCGACTCTTTCTAAACATTTCATTCTATTTCATTAAAATTGGCCTGTAGGATGTTGACTTGCCAAACCTGTATCTACAGATAAATTCAAATCACAATCTAAAACTCATCGAAAACCTCAGAAATGTGTTCTATAGATTCCACTTTTCCATTGCTTCAGAGGTCAATCAAACTCAAAACCATAATTTCTTGGAAAGGATTGGACACATTCTTACTGTTAGTTCTGACAACTACATATTTATTATAAATTATAAATAAATATATTTCATATCTTCATTGAATAAGACTAAAGTTTCACAGCCTTTGTATGTATGACATTCCTTAATTTTCTTAATCTCGGTGCTTACTCAATAATTACATGTAATTATTCAATAATAAATATGTAATACTTAAACCTCTGGAAAAAATTGAAAAAAAAAGAGAACATTGAGCTAATAAGCTTGCGAAAAACTTCATGGGGAAAAATTGTAATCATTTATAATTTCCTGGTAGGTACATCAACAAATTAAAAGGAATAAAAAAATGTGCCGCCATTTAAGGGAGATGCTTTAAAAATAGTGAAAAATATTCAGTTTAGATTTTGTACCTCTTTGAAACCAAAATAAAGCACCGCGAGACGGATGCGGCACTTGAAGTGCTCTTGAATACATCAAAATCGTCGAAAGCCCTACTTTTCGCCGGCTCTGTTTGCTCTTAGAGATTTTTAACGCCAAGATGCGATATTTTGCTTTTAAAATGCGAAATTTACGCTCTTTTGATGACGCACTCAACTACAGATATAAAAAAAATAAATGTAAAGTGCAATCGCAGGTTTAATATACATTTTGGCTTTTATTTTTTACTTCTTGATGTCGCAAAAAACGCAAGCAATCCAATATGCTGGATCATCAAGTATTAACAAAGTATTAATCAAGTGTCGTGTAAGTTTTGCGAATTCAATCACCCAAGTCGACGATGCCATGCTAGTCCATGGAATTGGTAGGTACATTTTACCTTGCATGAAATGAGGTAT